TTTTGTAATCACTACTGAGTAATAATCAGCAATTGTAACACTTCGAAAACAAGTAAGTTATTCACTTGTGTGAAACGCAGCATGACCGTTACCGTTATCAAAAATAATAGGAAAATAAATATATATTACATTAAATAATATACTGAGTATTTTGTTGTTATCATGCGAACATTTTTTTTTATTGATTTTTTTTTTATTTTAATTTCCCCGATGTCTAAATTAAACATGGAATGTACAGTCACTCTGCAGGAAGTCGAACATGCCGCAATCGACTGTGTCAGACGGCTGTCTCTCAGTTGTGACCTATACCAGTGCTAACGAATTAGTCTATTCAAGAGATTGTAGTATACAGTACGGTAATCTGCAAATGCAAACAAATCTATTTGTAGATATTACTGTAAAATCTGTATTAGAAGCCGCGACTTCTATTAAAATGGTACAATGCAACAGAGGGGATGCGGCTTCTATTAGAGCATCTACACATATGAGAAATGATGAATTTTTGGTTCTCAATTGTACAAAAAGATTGGGTGCGACTTCTATTAGGGATGCGGCTTCTAATACAGATTTTACGGTATTTATTGTACAGTAAGTTATACAGTGTGAAATTTCGTTTGTGTACAAGTTTGTCTGTGTGTAAAAATCCGAAAGTGCCTTAGAATCGCAACAAAGTTGCAATCGAGTGTCGTGTATCTCATTAGCATATCATTATCCCTTCTGGCCTTTGTTTTTTGAAAAAAATTACCACTGTTACCAAAATGAATGCTCTAATTAAAGCCGCACCAAGACTTCACCCATCTGAATGAATTCATCCATTGAAAAAATGAATTTTAATTAAAGCTGCGGCCTCAATTAGGAATTTTACGGTAGTTGTTTATTAAACAAGATTTATGCAAGATTTACTCACCAAAAGTTCTTTATTTTTAACTTTTTACTGTGCTTGGCAAACAGGAAAATGCTTCATGCGCAGAACCAAGCTATGTATACATTGCATATATATTTAAAAACACAACGCGGTTACTACCAGATTATTACATCATCTATACCATTTTTCTCACCCAGTGAGATTACACTCACACATATATATTGTCTGTAGCTGGGGGGAGCAGTACATATGAACGAAAATAAAAATAATAAGAACATTATAACGGTTAATCGCTGGAAAAACCCATGGATGTAATAAGATACCTTCAAGGAATAACAAAAACATTTTGGCAAAGCGTTCCGGTTTTATTGGAACGTTCACAGCCATAGCTGCACCCTCTAGCGGCTGATAGCCATAAGCAGAATTCTTTGCCAAATTCTGCTCGGAATAAAAACACCTTTACACGACTTGTTACTTTATAAAAAAAAAACACATGTATTTACCGGTATTAGTCAGACGGTGGCTTGGCAATATGGGAGACAGCCTTAAGCAATCTAAAGGTATTAATCTCACCATTGCTGTACCGATCCCACAAGCAAAAGAGCTTGCCCTGCATGACCCTGGTCTGTTTTCTCTGGTAACGTTGGAGTTTGTCTTGTTGTATCAGTCGTTGTTGTAGTGGTATTAATCTGGCTTCGTTGTGTAGCAGTTTTACTAAAAGATAAAACTGGATGTTACCTCGCTTGGCTTTGCTGTTCAGTCTACTGTGCCACCCTTCTACGTTGTTGTTTGTCCTGGTCGGTGTCATGAAAACACACCACTGTTCTGGTGCCCAGTTACCTTCAATCCATGTTTGATTTACGTAGTCAACAAATGGTCGTAGTTGGTCATTGGATCTGGCTGCCATTTGCTCAAACGCCGTCTTTATGTGATCACTAGGAATGTAAGGAAAAGCAAAAAAAAGGCTTAAATAATCTTGAGGTGTGACAAGAGGCACGGTATAACGGTGATAACGATAATTCTTGAATTTTCCTGTAAAGAGCTTGTTTAAAATGAAAACAACATCCACATACCTGAACCCGGGGGATCTGCCGCCAACCGACAGGTCATTGTTTGCAATTTAGTGTATAAAGTACAAGAAGTCTGGCATTTAACTTGGCGACAGAGTGGGCCATCTTGCTACATTGTTACATTCCGACTTCAGTTATAATTTATCACACAATTCCCCATGAAAACACAAACCACAAAAATGCAGACCCTGAAATGTATTGCTCAACAAACAGAATCACAACATGCAAAGAAACAGTTTATTTGTTTATTTACTGATAGACCAATACAGACTATTTTGTCTGCCTACATAAACTGCAACATTCTTTTCCTCTTTCGTTCAACGTTCTCAATTCATCACGCGACAAACCACAAATGAGCATTCTAGCCCTGACTGAAACAGATTTGTATTAGATGTATTAGATGTGTATTCTAGTTGTCTGCCTGCGAGCCACACAGGTCCACTGCACAGTGTCAATCTCTCCGGACCATATGGTGTTTAGTACAAAGGCGGTGGAAAGTAAATAAAAAAAACATCTGCTGCATTGTGTAAAATAGGGTGTTAAATCGTGAAAATGCCGTGCAAAAGACGAAAAATAAGCTGTGAGTAAGATAGTCATACATTCATTGTGCATTTAATATATTAACATTAGATATGATCGCATATCGAATATAATTTATACCCAATCTGTTTTGGATCGTCCAAACCAGAGCCGAATCGTCATGGCAACATGTTACTTGTTTGAGTGCCTACCGGTTTGTGTATACAATAACATGGCATAGTTTCAAAACTCTTGTATTTCATTTCCACTGAAGATTACTACATGCCTCTCACCACTCTTGATTTAACCCTTGCCGTCCGTGCAGTATTTATTTTTTACATAAATAACACAGCGCTCGTTGCTGTCGCTTGTGACACAGAAACAATAACAAGCGTCTAACAAAAGAATCACACCTTGCACGATGTGTTAATTAACCATGTCTGAGGGTTACACCACGGTTACTAACCGTGGTTACACGAACTCCAACATTTTTGTAACCATAAAGCACTGCGTCACTGAAACCAATAACCCTTGTGGCCATATTTTATTTTTTAACAATCGACAACCCTTTTTTATTAACAAAGCGCGATAAGCATCACTGAAATCGACACCCTTTGACGCCCGTACATTTTTTTTAGTCCCCGTTCGAACGAAGTCCGAAAACAGGGACTTATGTTTTGACCTCCATGTGTTCGTGTGTGCGTGCGTCTGTGCGTGCGTCCGGACCTGTATCTTAGAAATGCCTGGACCAATCACAATCAAACTCACACATACATCATACATGATATCATACATATGCACGTCAATTTGTTTCACAATCTGATTCAAGATGTCCGAATGGCGGCCATTTTTGTACTAAAAATCATCAAAATCAAGCATTTCCCGGCTGTTTACAGATGGATTTTGTTCAAACCTTGTATATACGTTGGACATTATAGGACCTTGATAAACATCATTTTGTTTTACGATCTGATTCAAGATGGCCGAATGGCGGCCATTTTTGTGCTAAAAAATCCTAAAAATCAAGCATTTCTCGGCTGTTTACAGATGGATTTTGTTCAAACTTGATATATACATTAGACATTTTGCGACCTTGATGCAAATAATTTGTTTTTTCAGATAACATTCAAAATGGCCGACTGGCGGCCATTTTGTTTTAATGAATAGGCTTCTAGACCCATATTTCCAACTTGTTTTGACTGATTATGTTCAAATTTTAAATATTCATTATACATCATATCATAGATTTACAGATATATTGGTTTGACGATCCTATTCAAAATAGCCGAATGGTTGTCATTTTTGTGCTAAAAAATCATCAAATATCAAGCATTTTTGGCATTTCTGGATGGATTTCGTTCAAACTTGGTACATACATTAGACATACAGTTCTGATGTACGTCATTTTATT